CTGGGAACAGCAGGGAAGCGGCTGGATCCTAATGAGACCCTCCTCTCCCTTAATGACTCTGGGGGTGTCGGGGATGCCGCCGGCTAACTCTGCCCTAATTAATTGACAGGGAGGCTACCCACAGAGGAATTAGCCTGGTTCTTCCGTGTCAGGCTCTTCTGGGCTTGGCTCAGGCCCCACCTTGCAGCCTGCTGGTCACCTGGGACAGCCCTGGGGTGGGGGTGGGGAGTGCTCCGTGTGAGCCGGAGCTGGGGGCCAGGGGGGGCCTGGGCTGGGTGGACATCACACAGACCTGGCTCAGATCCTGGCTCTGTCACCTGTTAAGGCGTGGCTCACCAGTTAACCTCTTCGGTCCTCTCTTCTGTGTAGAAGGGGAAGCCGATGGATTTCGAGGGTGGAGAGGAAGCTTGAGGGATGTACAAGACCACGGCAGAGGTCAAGTGTGAAGCATTCTGCAGGTGTGAAGCACGGGGAGCAGGCTGGTGGCCAGGGCTGGGTTCCCTGTCGGGTGGTTAGAGTGGGCGGGTTCTCGGCGATGGTGTGAACTTAACCTTAATATATATATGTATGTATATATGTGTGTATATATATGTATATATAATATATATATATATATATATATATATATATATATATAATAAAGACAAGAAAAAAAAGTCAGAGCTGGGCTCACGCCTGTCATCCCAGCTACTCAGGAGGCTGAGATCTGCGGACGGTAGTTCGAAGCCAGCCCGGCAGGAAAGTCCGTGAGGCTCTGATCTCCAATGAACCACCAGGAAACCGGCCAGAAGTGGGGCTGAGGCTCCAGAGGTGGAGCGCCAGCCTTAGAGGGGAGCCGAGGGCAGCGCCCAGGCGCGGGGGTCAGGCCCCAGGATCGGCACACGCGCGCGCACACTCGCGCACGCACACTCGCGCGCACACACGCACACTCACGCACACACAGGAGGAGCCCAAGCACTCCGCATTTCGGATAAGGAATAGTTCCCGGCTGGGAGGCGCGGAGGGAGCGCGGGCTGCGGACCCCAGGTCCCCGCGGGGGTCCCGGGGGCGGGGCGGGCGCGGGGCGGGGCGGAGGCGGGAGGCTGCGCACCGGAGGCCCGCGCCCTCCCTCCCCGCCGCCGCCCGCACGCGCGCGCGGGGGGCCCTCGGCTGCGGGTCGGGGGAGGCGGGGGGGGGGGGGGCGTCCCGCAGGGGACCCCGCCCCCTCCCCCGGCGCCCCGCGCCCACGTGAGCTCACGGCCGGCCCCGATCCCGCCGGCCGCACAGCGCGCGCGTCGCGGCTCCGCGCCAGCCAGCGCCCACGGTCCCGGCGGCTCCGCGCGGGCCGGCCCGGCCGCTCCGCTCCACGGCTGGTGAGTGCGGGACCCTCCCCGGGCCGGGCCTGCGCCCCGGGGTGCGCGCGCCTCCCCTCCCCTCCCCGCCGCGGGCCGCGCGGGCCGGCGGGAGCGAAGCTGGGAGCCGGCTGCCTGCCCGAGGGCCGTGGCGGCGCCGCGCCGGTGAAGTTCTGTGCCCGAGTGTGTGTGTGTGTGCGCGCGCGGGCAGGAGCCGCCTGTCAGGCTTCATTTGCACGGGGGCCGTGCGGGTGTGCGGTGTGCGCACGCGAGCGCTGCGTGGGGCGCTCCCTGTGCACCGCGCGTGTGCGCACGGGCGTGTGCAAGCTGTGCCCGTGCAGGCCGGCGCCTGTGCTTTGGGGAGGGGTGCGCGTGCGGCACGCCCGGGTCCGCGGTGTCCGAGGGCGGGTCCGGCCCGCGGCGGTGTCCGCACGTGGGGTGCGGGCCCGGGGGTGGGGCGGGCGAGACGGAGGCGGACACGGACGCGGGCCGGGCCCTGCCCCGCACCCGGAGCCGCCGCCGCCGCCGCGGCTTCCCCCCTTGGCTGGGCCTGTGATCCGGGCTACTCGGGAGGCTGAGACCCGAGGATCACGGTTCGAAGCCAGCTCTGGGCAGCCAAGTCCTGTCAGTCTCTCATCTCGAATGAACCCCCACCCCGCCCCCCAAAAGCCGGAGTGGAGGTGTGGATCAGTGGTGGAGCGCCAGAGCCCAGGGTAAGAAGAGACTCCTCCAGAGGCCAGAGAGGCCGGGGACACAGGTGGCTGCCCACCCAGGAAGAACCACGTCAGACCAGTATCAACAGTTTTATTAAGATCACTGCATGTTTTCACGGATGCGGGTGCTGCGGGTCAGAGGGCGTAGACAGGAAGAGGGTGGAGGGGGGAGGCCACACGGGAGAGCCAGTCCAGGGCGGGGCGTTGCAGGGCGGTGGGATGCCTGGAGCTCACCAGGGCCCCGCGCAAAAGGACCGTGTACTCTGACGAGCACTGCGCACTGTATTCACGTTTCGAACGATCACTACTTCATAAATAGGCACAATTACCGCCAATTAAAAATAAGAAAATTAGTACATGCACATATACGTATATATGCATGTATTAAATATATAGTATTTGTGCTGGGGCTTGAACTCAGAGCCTGGATGCTGTCTTTGAGCTTTCTTGCTCAAAACTAGTGCTTTTACCACTTGAGCCACATCTCAACTTCTGGCATTTTGGTGGTTAGTTAGAGATAAGAATCTCCCCGACTTTCCTGCCCAAAGCTGGTTTCAAACCGATTTGTCTCCTGAGTAGTCGGAATTACAGATGTGAGCCACCAGAACCAGGCTTCTAATATTAGTTTCAATTAACAGACTATAATTATCTATTTACAGTAATGCAGACAGGACTGAGACAAGTTGACGTCCAGGGGTTTGAACTCAGGCCCTTGTGCTTGCTAGATGGATGCTGTGCCACTTGAGCCATTCCCTCAGCCCCTTTTCCTTTTTTTTTTTTTTTTGTCAGTCGTGGGGCTTGAACTCTAGGCCTGGGCACTGTCCCTGAGCTCTTCAGCTCAAGGCGAGTGCTCCAGCAACTTGAGCCCCAGCGCCACTCCTGGCTTTTTCTGTGTATGTGGTGCTGAGGAATCGGACCCAGGGCATCATGCATGCAAGGCAAGCGCTCTACCACTCAGCTGTGTTCCCAACCCCCCCTTTTCCTGTTATTTACAAGAGTCTTGCCTTATTCCCTGAACAGCTTGATCTATGATTCTCCTACTTGTGTTTCTCTTTGCTGGGGATGAGAGGCTCACATCACAGTGTCTAGTTGTTGCATTTCCCTGGTAGCTGGGATAGCAGGCATGCACCACCATGCTCAGGCATTGATGTGAGGTGGAGTCTTTTATATAAACTTTTTTTTTTTTTATTGCCCTGGCTGGCCTAAAACGGAGCCCCATCTCTGCCTCCCAAAGAGCTGGCATTACAAGTTTGAGTCCCTGGGCTCAGGTTTCTGCTTTTCACCAACCACATGTTTTTAGTTTGTGGTCACCCTGTACTGTTCTAACTGTCTGGTGCACTGAATTATCTTAGCCACAGTGAATTGGGGTCCGAAATATGGACATGTGTGCTTTTCTCTAGGCTGAGAGCCAGCAAGTTTTTAATTTTTAGGTTTTTTTTGCGTGCTGGTCCTGGGGCTTGAACTCAGGGCTCAGGCTCTGTCGCTGAGGTGCTTTTTGTTCAAGATTTTGCTCTATTACTTGAGCCACAGATCCACTCCGTTTTTTTTTTTTTTTCTCTTCTCCTGAGTATATTTTTGGTGAGTCTCAGGGAGTTTCCTGGGCTGGCTTTGAACCTCAATTCTCAGATAACAGCCTCCAGAGTAGCTAGGATTACAGCTTGAGTCACTGGCGCCCAGCGACCAACAATTTTTTTTTTTTACTTAACAACAAGACTTTGGGAAGGGGTGGGGAGATTAGGGAGACAGTGCCAGGAAAGCAATCATACCTCCTAGGTCTGCTCTGCATGAATTCAGGCATTGGAGGTGAGAAGAGGTTTTGGGAGCTGTGATTTCTTAGAACACAGCTGAATGGCCAAAATTCTTCTTTTCCTTGAGACAGGGTCTTGCTATGTAGCCACGGCTGGCTTCAAATTCATGATCCTCCTGTCTCAGCCTCCTGAATGCTAGCATTACAGGTATGTACCACCATGCCCTGCTTGTATTTACCTTGATATCAAGGCAGTAGTAAAATATAATTTTGAGATCATGGAAGGGGTCCATGAAGGGAAAAGTTCCTCAGATCCATGGACTGTCACAACTTTCAACCTCTCCTGTTTGTTTGAGGTGTTTAGTTAGTAAATAGATGGGCAAGTTTTTTTTCTTTAATGCATTTTATTTAACGTCTGTGAAAAGTACATCATTTCCAGTAGTGATCTGAGCATTCCACTTTAGATATATATGTTGATATATATCTACCCATACCTGTGTATATATGCTTTTTTTTCCCTCCTAAGATAGGTAAATGAGAATATGAGTAAAGGCCAGTGCCTTTGGCTCACGCCTATCATCCCAGCTACCCAGGAGGGTTGAGATCTGAGCATCACTGTTTGAAGGCAGCCTGGGCAGGAAAGTTCATGAGACTCTTCTCTCTCAATTAACCACCCAAAAGCCAGAAGTGGAGCTGTGGCTCAGGTGGTAGGGTACCAGCCTTGAGCCAATAAAGCTCAGGGACGGCTCCGAGACCCTCAGTTCAGGCCCTAAAAAAAAAAAAAAAAAAAAAATTGGACAAATATAAAGAAGGGAAATACAAGGCACAAAGACCAAAGGACGGTCGCCGCCTCTTCCCTGGGGTGCCCCTCCCCTCTGCTGCTGGGGGTGCGCTGGGGATGGGCAGAGCTACGTTGATGGGGCACCCACTGTTCACCTCGCCTGCGAACGATGCCCTGGTGAGAAGCATGGCCTTTCCTGCCAGGACCGCAAGCCGTTCACTCTGAGACCGGCTCGGAGCTCCGCCTGCAGCGGGCGCGGGGCACAGGGCCCGGCGTCCATCAGGATGCGCCTGCGACAGCCTGGCTGGCCTCACCCAGCAGTGAGGCCCAGGAGCCTGGGATGCCCGGATGTGGCGTGACCTCTGACCTCCAAGCAGGGTCTCAGGTGTCCCCCCCCCCGACCCCCCTCTTTCTTCCCTCACCAGACCCGGGCTCCTGTGTCCCCCGCGGCGAGACGATGAGCAGCCACGGCAACAGCCTGTTCCTGCGGGAGAGCGGCCCGCGCCTGGGCCGGGCGGGCTGGCTGCGGCGCACGCGCGAGGGCCTGCAGCGGCGAGCACTGCGCCTGCGCCTGCGCCTGCAGACCACCACGCGCGAGCACGTGCGGCGCTTCCTGCGCCGGAACGCCTTCATCCTGCTCACCGTCAGCGCCGTCGTCATTGGTGAGCTGGGACTTCCGGGGGAGGGGCTTCCTGCCGGCGGGATGAAGGAGAAAGAGTTCCTGTGGTTGGGGACGGGACTTCCTCCCCGTAGAGGGCGGAACTTCCTACTGGCTCATCTCTGATTGGCACTCACGAGTCGTGTGCAAAAAAAGGCCTCTTAAAAATAAAATTTATTCTCTAACAGAAAAATAAGAAGTCTGTAAATGCTTAGCCCAGAAGCAAATATTTACTTAAAGTGACCATTTGTATAAAGGGGTTTCAGTTCAGCAGGCCAGCTCGATGCCATCCTGTCCCTCCTCCCGTCTTTCCCAGCCCCACTCCAGCCCCTCGGTTCCACGTTCACACAGTACATTGAATATCATATCTGTTTTCTCCCATCCCAGAATGAGATCACTTTTTTTTCCTTGTATCCCTCCTGGGGCTTGAACTCAGGGCCTGGGTACCGCCTGTGAACTTTGGTACCCAAGGATGGTGCTCTTACCACTTGAACCACAACTTCACTCCTGGCTTTTTTTTGACGGTTCACCGGTGATAAGAATCTCAGACTTTCCTTCCCTGGGCTGGCTTTGAACTGAGATCCACAGATCTCAACTTGCCTGCGTAGCTAGGATTATAGGTGTGAGCCACAGGCGCCCAACACATTCGTACATCTCTGCAGTGTATGCGTTTACCAGTGCGTGCACACACACACACACACACACACACACACACACACACGAGCACGTTTCTCCAACTGTCCATCCCCACACGCGCCGTTCTGAGGATGGATGGAAGCTGCCTGGGCCCGAGTCGCCTGCTCTGTCCCCATGCACGTCTTCTTCTGGCTGTAGGAGTCAGCCTGGCATTCGCCCTGCGTCCATACCAGCTCACTTACCGCCAAATCAAATACTTCTCCTTTCCTGGCGAGCTTCTGATGAGGATGCTGCAGATGCTGGTCCTGCCTCTTATTGTCTCCAGTCTGGTCACAGGTGAGTGGATGTGGGCCAGTGTTGGCCTCCAAGAATTACCTACAGTCCAACCGTGGGTCCCCTCCACACCTCGGCCCCCCTCGTCCTTGGTCTGAGCCTAGGTTCCCTTCCCATTCAAGTCCTGGTGGTCCTGGCACTCATACCCCACTTGCCTCAGTAGCTTTCCTGTACTTCTCCTTAGGAGCAGATATGCCAGCCTGCAAGGGCTCAGTTTTATCCAGAGGGGAAAGAAAGGCTGGGAAGGGAGAGCCAGTCAAGAAAGCTAGTTGTAATATGGGTGGGGGTGGGGGGGATGAAGAGGCGGTGAATGAGGCTGAGGTTCCAGGATGGGGAGCAGGGGGTGGGCTGGGAGGATGGATGGATCATGCAAGGCTCTAGAAGCATTTTCTCTAGGAGGCTGGATAGCAAGCATTTTCCTCTCTGCTGACTCTTTGATCTCCGCTGCAGCTTCACCCACCGCTGTTTCTTGTAGCACAAACGCAGCCATAGGCAACAGGAGAGCAAATGAACACTCTTGTATTCTAATAAAATATGTATTTATAAAAACAAGAAGCGGGCCAGGTTTGGTTCCTTAATTGTAGATGGCGTGTTTCTGGTTTTGACAACAGAAAGAAAAGATGAAGAGTGGTTCCTTGGGTTGGGTTTCCTAGAAGCCGAGGCTGACAGGATATTTGAGGAAGGGACCCATGGGGGGGGGCGGGGTAGAAGCAGGGTTTGGTGAGGGATGTGTGCTCAGAAGAATTCCAGACTCTCTGCCTCATTGCCTGGGAATAGCATTGGGAGATTGTCTACACCTGCATCAAAGGAGTTTGCCTTTTTTGGGAGCTAATCCTGGGGTTTAAACTCAGGGCCCTGGGCGCTGTCCCTGAGCTTTACTGCTCAAGGCTAGCACTCCACCACTTGAGCCACAGTTTCACGTCTGGCCTTTTGCTGCTTAGTTGGAGATAGGCATCTCATGGGCTTTCCTGTCTTTGCCATCTTCCACCTGTGATCCTCAGATCTCAGCCTCCTGAGTAGCTAGGATTTACAGGCATGAGCCATGGGATGCCTGGGAGGAATTAGCCTTTGAACCCTTATACCAGTCGGTGTTTGGCTGTTGGCTGTTTTGGGGAGCCTTTCTGGTGAAGCAGTGCCCGTTGTGCTCAGGGCAATTATCAGGAGGAGGCGGCAGCCTGAGTTCTTAGCAGCCAGTGCTCACAGCAGCTGAGGGACAAGTATGCTGGGCTGGTCCTGGGCATTTGGATACAGTGCCAAAAATACCCACCGAGTGAGTGTCTGGTGAGGCGGGCTGGAGGGAGAGCAGGTCTGAGGTGGGTAGTGAGATGAAGAGAGATGGAAAGGAGGTTATGGGGCAAGATTGAGATCAAGAGGTTGGTGTGGAGTAGAGGGCAGGTAGTGTGGTGGGCTGGAGGTGTGTTTGGGGTAAAGAATGAGGTGGGTGAACAGATGTGGTGTCTCATGCCTGGAATCTTATCTGTGAGGGAGACAGAGATGGAGAGGATTGAGGTTCAAGGCAGGGGTGAGACCTTCTCCTCTGTCAGTGAAAGAAAGTCAGGCATGGTCATTCACGCCTACCATCCCAGCTTTGCGGTACGGGAAGCATAGACCAGCTTGACAAGAACAGAGACTCCACCTGAAGAAAAGAATGAAAGAGAAATTAAAAAAAAGAGGGTGAAGCCGGGCGCTGGTGGCCCACACCCGGCAGCCTTGGTACTCGGGAGGCTGAGATCTGAGGGTCACAGGTGGGAAGAAAGTCCATGAGACTCTGATCTCCCATGATCCACCAGAAAACGGGAAGTGGCGCTGTGGCTCAAGTGGTAGAGCGCTCGCCTTGAGCTGAAGAGCTGAGGGACAGCGCCCAGGCCCCGAGTTCAAGCCCCACGACGGACACGTGTGTGGAGACTGGGCTGTCTGTCTTTCAGGTATGGCGTCCTTGGACAACAAGGCCACAGGGCGGATGGGGATGCGGGCAGCTGTGTACTACATGGTGACGACGGTCATCGCGGTCTTCATCGGCATCCTCATGGTCACCATCATCCACCCTGGCAAGGGCTCCAAGGAGGGGCTGCACCGAGAGGGCCGCATTGAGACCGTCCCCACGGCCGACGCCTTCATGGACTTGGTCAGGTGAGGCTCGGCCCGCCTCTGGGGCGGGACTTCCTTCTGGGCCATGCAGCCAAGGACAAAGGGACGGGGGAATACCCAGCCCGGGACCTGAGCCTCACCTTGTCTTTCCCTGGTGGATGCGTATCTTCCGAGAGAGCTGCTGAGAGACATGAGCTTTCCCACCCTTCATCCGGGCAGGGTACGGTGGCACCATCTTGAGGGCTACTGTTGGCTTGATGTTGGCAGGCTCCATTGGGTGGGCCCGTGGTTCTCATCGAGATTTTGGTAGGCAAAATCAGGGCTATTCACAGGTTCCCCCTGGTCGCCAACTTGGCCGGGAACTTCAGAGTTGGAAGGGCTCTGACAAAGGTGCTCATTAGGCCCTGGGTTTGAGGTTTGTCTCAGTCTATTTTCCATGGCTGTCACAGAACGCTTAAGTCTGGCGGGTTGTAGAGACTCGAAGGTTCTTTAGCTCATGGTTCTGGAAGCTGGGGAATCGAACACAGCCACAAATGGATGAATCCATCTCTGGAGAGATGAGGGCTTGGCTGTCAGAGCTGGGTTCGTCCATTTGTGGCTGTGTTCCATTCCTCAGCTTCCAAAACCATAAGCTAAAGAACCTTCGAGCTGGAGCTGGTGGCTCACGCCTGTCATCCTAGCTACTCAGGAGGCTGAGATCTGAGGATCATGGTTCAAAGCCAGCCTGGGCAGGAAAGTCCATGAGACTCTGATCTCCAGTGAACCACTAGAAAAACTGGAAGTGGTGCTGTGGCTCCAGTGGTAGAGTGCTAGCAGTCAAGGTCACCTCCATTAGCTGGACGGCTCTGGGTAATGAACAGAAGTTCCCTGAGCACCTGTTCCTTCCCATGTAAAAAACCGGGACACGACGCACCTGTGTGGCAGGCTGTTGTAGTGTTCAATCAGATGAGGTGCAGCCGGGTCCTGGCCTACCATGGATGCGAGCCATCATTACCTCAGATGAAGGAGAGTCACGCTCGAGGCTCCCTTCCAAGGTCTAAGCGCTTTTGCTTCCTGTTATTTTTCTGCAGAAATATGTTTCCGCCCAACCTCGTGGAGGCCTGCTTCAAACAGGTGAGGAGGAAGAGCTTGCTTCGTCTGGAAAGAGTTGGAGCCTGGGGGGTGTGGGGGGGAGGTAGGTGGTGGCTGCCGGTGAGGGGTGGGGGAGAAGAGAGTGAGCAAGGGTTGTTGGAAGACACTGAGAGACAAAACGTAGTTTCCATGGGCATCAGGGAGAGACCTGAGTTGTCTGGGCCTGGGATCAGGGGAGGCCTGGATGTGGAGACTCGGGGAGAGAGGCCCTAAAGTGACATCCAGTGTAGTGAAGGATGCAGGCTCTACATTGGTTGCACAGGGAGTTGAGTGGTGACATTCCCACACACGTGTGTGCCGTGTCCCAGCCTGCCTCACCTCCTCTGTCGCTCTGCTCCTCCCCCCCTCCTTAAAATCAGTCAGGCTCTGGTGGCTCACGCCTATCATCCTAGCTGCTCAGGAGGCTGAGATTTGAGGATCGCCTTTCAAAGCCAGCCTGGGTGGAGAACTCTGTGACACTCTTATCTCCGATTAGCCAGCAAAAGGCGAGAAGGAGAGCTGTGGTTTAAGTGGTAGAATGCTAACCTTGAGTGGGAAAAGCTAAGGGAGAGCATGAAGCCCTGGGTTTAAGCCCCAGTATTGGCATGTGCGCGCACACACACACACACACACACACACACACTCACACACTTTGGATTTGTCTGCCGGGGCTGGCTTTGAACAGCGATCCACAGAGCTCAGCCTCCTGAGCAGCTAGGATTACAGGTGTGAGCCTCCAGTGAGTAGTAACAGCCTTCTTTCTAGTTATTTTTGAGGTAGGATATTACTTTATGGCCACTTCTGTCTAGACTGTGAACCTCCTTTTTGTGTTTCTCTCTGTCACTGCCGGTGACAAGTATCCACACCCAGTCCTTGGTTGAGATGGAGTTTCATGGACATTATTATTATTATTATTATTATCTTGTTTGACCTTAAGCTGAAATCCTCTGATCTCCACCTCCCAAGTAGCCGGGAATTACAGGTGTGTGCTGGGGCACCCAGCCAGACACCTGTTTTCACTGATCTGTCACACAAAAATTCAGGCATGGGATTTTTCTGCTTGTGTTATGCCAGTGTTGAAAAAAGTTTCAGACTTTGTGTGGCTTTTTTTTTTTTTCCATCAGGGAGGTCAACCTCTGTCTCCTGGAGACACCGAATTCATTTCCTTTGGTTATAGATACTTGGTGATGGGGTTGGGGGCGGCTCTTGTAATTCATGCCTCGATCAAATCATTAATTCACTCTCCCAGTTCTGTGTGTGTGAGTGAGTGAAATGTGTGTGTATGCATCATTGTGAGAGTCTGGAATTCCCTGTTATGCCCACCATGCTAAATCTGGGTTCCACCTCTCTGTGTTTCAGTTCAAGACTCAGTATAGCACCAGGGTGGTCACCAGGACGGTGGTGAGGACGGAGAACGGGTCGGAGCCGGGAGCCTCGGCGGCGCCCCTGTCCCTGGCGGACAACGAGAGCAGCGTGGTGGAGAACGTCACTCGGGCCCTGGGCACCCTGCAGGAGATGCTCAGCTTCGAGGAGACCGTGCCGGTGCCCGGCTCTGCCAATGGCATCAATGCCCTGGGCCTGGTGGTCTTCTCTGTGGCTTTCGGCCTGGTCATCGGGGGCATGAAACACAAGGGCCGCGTCCTCAGGGACTTTTTCGACAGCCTCAACGAGGCCATTATGAGGCTGGTGGGCATCATTATCTGGTGAGTGGTGGCTGGGTCTGGGCGGGCATCCAGGGCACTTGGGGGTGCGTGGGGGAGCCCCGATGGGCTGGACCAGCCAGGCCGTGTGGGAGATGCTGAAATGGTGGTGGCGGATGTTTAACCAAAGTCATTTATTCATCTACTGGTTAATTTACTTGCCAGTTCATTCATTCCTGCCTGCATAGTTTATTCAGTTGCACCATCTCTCATTCATCTGTTTGTTTCATTTATTCTTTGTTTCCTGTTGTTTCTGTTGGTTGTGGGGCGTGAACTCTGGGCCTGGGCGCTGTCCCTCAGCTCTTCAGCTCAAGGCGAGCGCTCTACCACTTGAGCCACAGCGCCACTTCTGGTTTCCTAGGGGTTTATTGGAGATAAGAGTCTCATGGACTTTCCTGCCTGGGCTAGCTTTGAACCATGATCCTCAGATCTCAGCTTCCTGAGTAGCTAGGATTATAGGTGTGAACCACCAGTATCGGGCTCCTACTTAATTTTTCTTGGCAGTACCAGGGTCTGAACTCAGGGCCTCTTACTTGCTAGACAGGCAGCCTACCACTTGAGCCACAGCTCCACTCCAGGCTCTTGGCTGCTTCATTGGAGGTAAGAGGCTCATGGACTTTCCTGCCTGAACTGGTTTCAAACCGCAATCCTCAGGTCTCAGCCTCCCGAGTAGCTGGGATTCCAGGTGTGAGCCACGGGCGCCTGGTGGAATATTTATTCCTTTTTGTTAATGCGCATGTGAGTTGTTCATTGTGGCGGTGGTACAGACACACACATCGGAGGAAGGGGGACCAGACACACCCTATAAGGTCACCCCTCCCCCTCTGTAGTTACCTACTTCATGGAACTGGGCTCTACTTCCGGTAGTTTCCACACCTTCGAAGTCCCTCAGTGGATGAATCCCTGGGCGTGGGGTCAGGATCCTCGAGATCCGATCACCTCCCAAAGGCGCTGATGCCCTGGGCGACCGCTGAGCTTTAGGGAACGTTAGATCTGTGTGGTTTGTGGGTGTGCGGGAGGGTTGAGGTGTGTGTGCGTGTGTGCGCGTGTGTAACAGGGTGACCAGCCTAGACAGGTGCCCGGCTCGCCCAGGTACGCGCCCGTGGGCATCCTGTTCCTGATCGCGGGGAAGATTCTGGAGATGGAAGACATGGCGGTCCTGGGCGGTCAGCTGGGCATGTACACGCTGACGGTCATCGTGGGCCTGTTCCTGCACGCCGGCGGCGTCCTGCCCCTCATCTACTTCCTTGTCACCCACCGGAACCCCTTTCCCTTCATCGGGGGCTTGCTGCAGGCGCTCCTCACCGCCATGGGCACCTCCTCCAGGTAGGCCCCGCCCCACACAGGCCCCCACCCACCGAGGCCCCGCCCCCACATAGCCCCGCCCACCCACCGAGGCCCGCTCCCACATAGGCCCCGCCCCACGCAGGCCCCGCCCCCCACTGAGGCCCCGCCCCCACTGAGGCCCCGCCCACCCACTGAGCCCACCTCCACTTCCCGCTTTTGGGTGGTTCATTGGAGATGGAGCGTCCGCAGGACTGGGGCTGGCTTTGAACTGCCGTCCTCAGAGCTCAGCCTCCTGAGTCGCTGGCATGACAGGCGGGAGCCACAGGCGCTTGGCCAACACACTGCTGTTTGCCCTAAGGCGTGGGGGAGGGGGGCGGGGTTGGAAGTGCAGGACTGGATTACTTAGTGGCTGGGTACTGTTGGCCTTAAACTCCCGAGTTTAAACGGGTGATGAGGCCTTCCACTTCCTCTCTTCCTCTGGCCCCATTCCACTGGCGCTCTCCACGCCGTCATGGGAAGCCCTCCTTTGGTCCTATGCTGCAGTCTCTCCTCCCCTCCCTCCCCTCCCCTCTCCTCTCCTCTCCTCTCCTCCCCTCCCCTCCCTCCCTCCCTTCCCCTCTCCTCCCCTCCCCTCCCTCTCCCCCTGCACCTCTCCCCCCCTCCCCTCCCTCCTCTCCTCCTCTCCTCTCCTCTCCTCCCCTCCCCTCCCCTCCCCTCCCCTCCTCTCTCCTCTCCTCCTCTCCTCTCCTCCTCTCCTCCCCTCCCCTCCCCTCTCCTCTCCCCTTCCCTCTCTCTCCTCCTCTCCCCTCCCCTCTCCTCTCCCCTCCCCTCTCCTCTCCCCTCCCCTCTCCTCTCCCCTCCCCTCCCCTCCCCTCTCCCCTCTCTCTCCCCTCCCCTCTCCTCTCCTCCCCTCCCTCTCCCCCTGCGCCTCTCCCCCTCCCCTCCCCTACCCCCTCCCCTCCCCTCCTCTCCTCTTCTCTCCCCTCCTCTCCCCTCCCCTCCCCTCCCCTCCCCTCTCTCTCCCCTTCCCTCTCTCTTCTCCCCCCTCCCCTCCCCTCCTCTCTCCTCTCCTCCCCTCCCCTCTCCTCTCCCCTTCCCTCTCTCTTCTCCCCCCTCCCCTCCCCTCCCCTCCCCTCCCCTCCTCTCTCCTCTCCTCCTCTCCTCTCCTCCTCTCCTCCCCTCCTCTCCCCTCCCCTCTCCCCTCCCCTCCCCTCCCCTCCCCTCCCCTCCTCTCTCCTCTCCTCCTCTCCTCCCCTCCTCTCCTCCCCTCCTCTCCCCTCCCCTCTCCCCTCCCCTCCTCTCCCCTCCCCTCTCCCCTCTCTCTCCCCTTCCCTCTCTCTTCTCCCCCTCCCCCCTCCCCCCTGCAGCTCGGCCACTCTGCCCATCACCTTCCGCTGCTTGGAGGAAGGCCTGGGCGTGGACCGTCGCATCACCAGGTTTGTGCTGCCCGTGGGTGCCACGGTCAACATGGACGGAACCGCTCTCTACGAGGCCCTGGCCGCCATCTTCATCGCCCAAGTCAACAACTACGAGCTCAACTTGGGCCAGATCACCACGATCAGGTGGGACCTGCCTGCCTGCGGGGAGTAGGTGGCGCTGGGCTGGGGGGGGGCAGGGAGCCACAGCGGGGAGGGAGGTGTGTGTGTCACTTTGAATTGATTCATTTGAGGGTTGATTGGCTTACTTTCAGTACCGAGGACAGAACCCAGTGTGTCTAGGCAAGAGCTGTCAGCAAGTTGCTTAGTATGTTTTTTCAGAACAGATTTTTCTTCTTTAACTGAGCAAGAAATACACTCCATACCTGACTTAATCCGCCTCAGTGTGGCGAGCTGTGTGCGGGTACAGGCTCACGCCTGCCATCCTAACCACTCAGGAGGCTGAGATCTGGGGATGGAGGTTCAAAGCCAGCCCGGGCAGGAAGTAAACTACTCAAAAAAGCCAGAAGTGGTGCTGTGGCTCAGATGGTAGAGCCCTAGCCTTGAGCACAAAGAGGCTCCGGGACAGCGCCCAGGTCCCGAGTTCAAGCCCCAGGACTTGCAAAACAAAAACAAAAAAAAGGAAACAACCAAAACTTCTCCTTCTCCTTCTCCCCTCCCCCAGCCATAGTGAGGGGTGGCTGATGCGAAGTGTGCATAGATTTAAGGTGTGCAATGCGCTCTCATGTGCCCGCCAAAAACGACTTCAGTACCAAGCTGATGAATTCATGCAACACCTCTCTCTCCCCTTCCTCCTTCCCTTCCCTTCTCCCTCATTCTGCCCTCCCTCCCTTCCTCCTTCCTTCCTTCCCTCCCTCCCTCCCTCCCTCCCTCCCTCCCTCCCTCCCTCCCTCCCTCCCTTCCTTCCTTTTTGTTGGTGTTCTGAGAACACCTACATTCTCCTCTCTCTGCAACACCGCCATTATTAACTCTAGCTGCCATACAGTTCGTTAGATCCCTAGAACTTACTAATTTTGTGACTAAAATCTGGTGCCCTTTGACCCAGGTCTTCTCCCTCCCCCCCCCCCCAACCCTGAAAAAAGAAAAACTACCCCACTACTCTACTCCGCTTCCCTGAGTTTGACATCTTCTGTCTTCTGGGGAGCTCCCTCGCTGTCAGGCAGCTCCTGCAGTATTTCTTCTCTTTGGGTGCCGGGTTGGGGATCTGAGCTGACTCCATCATCCCACCCCGCCCCTCTCCTCTCTCTTCCAGCATCACGGCCACGGCGGCCAGCGTGGGCGCGGCCGGCATCCCCCAGGCGGGCCTGGTCACCATGGTGATCGTGCTCACCTCCGTGGGCCTGCCCACCGAGGACATCACACTCATCATCGCTGTGGACTGGTTTCTGTGAGTGCCCTCTGGATGGGGCACCCCGCCTACCCTCCCTCCCAACCCCACCCCTGCTTTTGTCTGTAGGATCCAGCAAGGACAGATCCCTAGTGTCTCAGACCAAAGGGTCTTTGGAGAGTTCTGGAAGCCGTGGCCTGTGGGCCCCAGGATGTAGGGCGGCACGGGACACAGAGGGAGAGCTTTATTCGTCAGCTAGAGCAGCTCCTCTTGGAAGTGCCCTACGTGGAAATCAAAAAAGGGGATACTAGCTGGGCGCTGGAGGTTCCCGCCAGTCATCCTAGCTACTCAGGAGGCTGAGATCTGAGGATCACGGTTCAAAGCCAGCCCAGGCAGGAAAGTCTGTGAGATTCTTATCTCCAATGAACCAACAGAAAACTGCAAGTGGCACTGTGGCTCAGATGGTAGAGCCCTAGCTTGGAGCTGAAGAGCTGAGGGACAGCGCCCAGGCCCAGAGTTCAAGCCCCACAACCAACAACAAAAAACAAAAAGAGGGGGGGAGAGATACTCAGAACAGATCAGGCTTGCAATTTTTGTTTTGGTTGGTCTTGGGTCTTGAACTCAGGGCCTGGGCGCTGTCCCTGAGCTTCTTTTGCTCAAGGCTAGCACTCTACCACTTGAGCCACAGCGCCACTTGTGGCTTTTTTTTCCCCCAAGGAGATAAGAGTGGCCTGTGTGGCCTTGGCCTTGACCTGCGGTCCTCAGATCTCAGCCTCCTGCGTAGCAGAGTAGCTGGGAGCTACCCTACTGTGGTGGGCTAGGGTCTGGATGGACCGTCCCCTCTCTGCGCTGGCCATTGCCTCTACTCTCCATGGCCTGTCTTGTGAGATTCACATCCTTAGAAACAACCCCATTGCTAAGAACAGCTCTGAGCATCTCACAGCCGGGACACTGAGCCGGGCGCCGGTGGCTCACACCTGTCACCCCAGCTTCTCAGGAGGCTGAGATCTGAGGATGGCGGTTCAATGCCAGCCTGGACAGGAAAGCCCATGAGACTCTGATCTCTAATGAACCACCAGAAAGCTGGAGGTGGCGCTGTGGCTCAAGTGGCAGAGCGCTCGCCTTGAGTACAGAGAGTTCAGGGACAGCGCCCAGGCCCTAAGTTCAAGCCCCACGGCCGACAAAAATGAACAGAAGGTCCACTGAGGGTACAGAAGGAGAAGGACTTGCGTGGGGGTGGGGTGGGGGGTGCGATTGCCCCGCTCCCCGCGGTCCTCCTCGCGGTCCCCTGTGGACGATGGCTTCTGTCTCCCACCAGCGACCGGCTCCGCACCATGACCAACGTGCTGGGGGACTCGATCGGCGCGGCCGTCATCGAGCACCTGTCCCAGCAGGAGCTGGATCTGCAGGAGGCCGAGCTCACCCTTCCCAGCCTGGGCAAGCCCTACAAGTCACTCATGGCACAGGAAAAAGGGGCGTCCAGGGGCCGGGGGGGTCACGAGAGCGCCATGTGAGGGGCCTGCAGGGGGGCCGCCGGGCGGGCGGGCGGGGAGGGGACGGGAGGGAGCCCTGGGGGCCGCCGGAGCCCAGCGGACCGTGTGCGGAACACGCGCGGTGCTCTGCTTGTCTTGTCTGGGGAGGGGGGAGCTGAGATAAAGGAGCAGGAGCGAAAGCTGTCCCAGGCCTCGAGTCCTCTCTGAGTGCGTGTTGAGTGCTGCGTGGTGGGGCTGGACAAGGAAGGCGGGGACCCCTCTCTTGGGTAATTGAGGGGTGTGCAGGGGAAAGCTTCAGAGATCACAACAAAGGAAGGCCAGCAGGGGCTGGTGACTGGCTCCCGTCTGTAGTGATCCGTGCTATCCCACAGGCAGGATCTGAGGAGCACGGTTCAAAGCCAGCCCCGGGCAGGAAAGTCCGGGAGACTCATCTCCAGTGAAAGCACTCAAAGCTGGAAGTGGAGCTGTGACTCAAGTGGTAGCGCACCAGCCTTGAGCACAAGAAGCTCAAGGACAGCACCCAGGCCTTGAGTTCAAGCCCCAACACACACACACACACAGAAAGAAAGAAAAGAAAAGAAAGAAAGCCCAGACCCTAGGTTCAAGCTCCAGGACTGGCACAAAAAAAGAAAAAAACAACAACAAAAAGAAAATAGAAGCGGTTTCCTCTGGGAAGAACCGCAGGCTGTGGCAGCCCAGGTTTATTCTCCTGAGATACATCAGCACTGTATCTCTGCTGCACAAGGTGTGTGTGTGAGTGTGTGTGTGTATGTGTTTGTGTGTGTGTGTGTGTGTGTGTGCATGTGTGTGTGTATACATCAGGCATAGAATTCTTTCCCCTGGGCTGGGAAGGTGGCTCAGTGGTAGAGCGCTTGCCTTGCATGCCTGAGGCCTTGGGTTCGATTCCCCAGCACCACATAAGCAAAAAGAAGCTGGAAGTGGCGCTGTGGCTCAAGTGGTAGAGCGCTAGCCTTGAGCTGAAGAGCTGAGGGACAGCGCCCAGGCCCAGAGTTCAGGCCTCACGACCGGACCTCCCCAAAAAAAATAAAAGAATTCTTTCCCCTGTGGGACATCAAAGACTGGGGGGACAGGCTAAGGGGACCGAGTGGGATTTGTGTGCTCTTGTCGTTACTGTAACACAATCCCCGAGATGGGGTGTGTTTATAAGTGGTGAAGTCGCTGTGAATGACTGGTTCTGGAAGCTGCAGGCCCAGCATCTGGTTGCTGAGTCTGAGGCTGCTTCGTGACACGGTGGAAGTCAGAAGGAGAGAGATGTGCGGAAGCGGGGGGGGGGGGGGAGGGCTGATACTGCACCCACTCTCATGAGAAAGGCGCTATTCCACCCACGAGCGCGGCGCCCCTCCTCACTGTCCAAGCGTAGGATCCTCATCCTGGGTTGTGAGCCAGCGTCTGGCTAAAAAAAGAAGTGGACTGGAGGCATGATTCAAATGGTAGAACATTAGCCGTAAGAAAGCCAAGTGTCGGGTACCAATGGCTCACGCCTGTCATCCTAGCTACTCAGGAGGCTGAGATCTGAGGATCACAGTTCAAAGCCAGCTCAGGCAGGAAAGTACGTATGACTCTTATCTCCAATAAACCACCAGAAAACTGGAAGTGGCGCTGTGGCTCAAGTGGTAGAGCTCTCGCCTTGAGCTGAAGAGCTGAGGGACAGCGCCCAGGCCCTGAGTTCAAGACCCATCACCGACAAAAAAAAAAAAAAAGAGAGCCAAGTGAAGCCAGTGCTGGTGGTTCACACCTATAATCCTAGCTACTCAGGAGGCTGAGAACTGAGGAATGAGGTTCAAAGTCAGCTTGGGCATGAAAGTCTATGAGATTCTCATCCCTAACCATCAACCCCTGTCCACCCACTGCCCAAAGTGGTAAGTGGAAGTATGGTTCAAGTGGTAGAGTGCTAGCCTTGAGCACAAAAGCTCAGGGATATTGCCCAGGGCCTGAAGTCGAGGCCCAGGACTGGTACGTAACAACAACAAAAAGAAAGTCAGATGTGGCCCTGGGGTGTATGCATGTGCCCCCCCTCCCCGTATGCACACACACATACACACAGAGAACACCAAAATTTAAAAAATAGGATCAAAGTACTTTGAAGACTTCAAGTGTATGAAATTTCACACATGCATATGTTGTATTTTGTTCAGATGAAGTCCCTCTCGCTTTCCTCCCTTCTAGTTTCAACAACTTTTAGTGGATTTTGTTATGTCATATGTCGATTTAATGCACCTTGTGATCACAGTACTTTATATGCGTGTATGAAAACAGGATGATAAAAATCCATTGAAAATAGTAACACACACAGGGAGAGAGGGAAAAGAAAGTGTTACAAAGTGGTGAATATAATCAAAATACTTCACATCCAACTATGGAAATACCACAATAAACCCCTTTATACAATTGGCCTATACCAGTTAATAGAAAGAAGGAAAAGAGCTGGGCACTGGTGGCTCATGCCTGTAATCCTAGCTACTCAGGAGATCGAGATCTGAGAATCACAATTCCAAAGCCAGCCCAGGCAAGAAGGTCTTCCCTCATCTCCAGTTAACCACCAAAAATCCAGAAGTGGAGCTGTGGTCCAAGTGGTAGTACACCAGCCTTGAGCAAAAATCTCAGTGACAGCACCCAGGCCTTGAGTTCAAGCCCCAGGACAGGCACAAAAAGAAAAAAAACTCCAGGCACTGGTGGCTCACTCCTGTAATTCTAGCTGCTCAGGTGACTGAGATCTGAGGATTCAGGTTCAAAGCCAGCCTGGGCAGGAAAGTCTGTGAGACTCATCTCCAATTAACCATCAGAAAATGGAAGTGGTGCTGTGTGGTTCAAGCAGTAGAGTGCTCGCCTTGAGCTGAAGAGCTGAGGGACAGCGCCCAGGCCCAGAGTTCAGGCCCCACAACTGACACACACACACACACACACACACACACACACACAAAGCAGCAAGAAACAAATCAGGCAATTGACTTCAAAATATTTTCCTCCTGAATCCATGTGGACAAGATGTAACTGAAGTTTGCGTAGCAAGATCCTCCATTATTATGGATTTGGATCTTGAGACATTGAATTATTTTTACAACACATTGTTTAGCCAATTAAGGCCAATTGCATTCCATTCACAGCTGTGTGTCCTTAGATCAAATTCACTATTTCCATGACAATCCGTAACCTCTCTCTCCTGATGAGTGATCTTTGGTGTGGGTTTCACGATCTGTTTTCCACGCACATATTTAATGCACTTCTGTAATACTCCTTTGTCCTCTCTTCTTTCCCTTTCCTCTACCTCGCTGCCGTTTTCCAGTCTTACGTGTGTGTGTGTGTGTGTGTGTGTGTGTGTGTGTAGATGTCAGGGTTCACTAGTCATATTTTACTGTTGGTGACTCTGGCGTTGGAATTCAGGTCTTTGCACTTGCCAGGCGGGCATTCTTCCACGTGAGCCACGCCCCCTCAGGCAAACCACGCCCCAACCCAGAGCCACGCCCCTGCGGTAGAGCTAAGCCCTCTTACTGATGAGCCTGGCTTTCGCTGTAGCCACGCCCCCACCGCTTAAGCCACGCCTCCAGCTCTGAGCTAAGTCCGCTCCTGCGTAGCCACGCCCCCACTGTCTAAGCCACGCCCCCTAGGTCTGCAAGTTGGCATTTTACCAAGCAATGTCTGACTTGATCAATTCAGGATTTTTTACTTCTGCTGGACTCTGTGAAGAACTGAATGGCCAACCCGGGGTCTGCCACAAGAGGGCGCGCTTGCTTGCAAAAGCCGAGTCACAACAGATTGACAATGTTTCTTTTTTTAAATTTAATTTTATTGTCAAGGTGATGTACAGAGGGGTTACAGTTACACAGTAAGGTCATGAGTACATTTCTGGTCGAACATTGTTACCCCCTCCCTCGTTTTTTTATTTCCCCCTTCCCTCCCCCACTCCCCCAGTTGTAAAGTTCATTTCCAACCTAGGGTTTTGTGAGTATTTCTGGTGCATCTAAAATGATGCTAACTGAAATGAACTACAGTTAGTTTTATCTGAGCAAAGTACAAATACCGGTGTTAACTAAAAGCCAAGTGTCTTACGCCGGCCTGTCAGCCCAGGAAAGAGTGCCCATCTTGCCTAGGAATCAGGAGTGTAATTAAGCACAGCCAGGCCCTGTTTCTATAGGGTCATCCCTTTTTTTTTTTTTTTTTGTCAGTGACAATCTCAGCTGTTTCTAGGAGAGAATGAGCTAGTCACATAATTAAGGTAGGGACTTGGTTCAGCTGTGCCAGGCACAAGTTGGTGCGAGGTACAGAGAGGTCTTCAGGCTCACGCCTGTAATCCCAGCTAATTACGATGCTGAGATTCAGAACTCTGCTCAAAGTTAGTCCAGGGAGAAAAGTCTGCGAGACTCTTATTCCCATTTAATTACAAAAAAAAAAAAAAGAGATGAACATGCGGCTGTAGTTCAAGTAGTGGAGTGCTAACCTTGATCAAGAAAGTTCATTAGGCATGTCATTTTAAAAAAAGGGGCTGGGAAGGTGGCTCAGTGGCAGAGCGCTTGCCTTGCATGCCTGAGGCCCTGGGTTCGATTCCTCAGTACCACATAAGCAGAAAAAAAAAAAAGCCAGAAGTGGAGCGGTGGCTCAAGTGGTAGAATGCTCGCCTTGAGCTGAAGAGCTGAGGGACAGCGCCCAGGCCCAGAGTTCAACCCCACGACCGACAACTAAATAAATAAATAAAGCTTGACTATTGTAAAGGGTGATCCAGATAAAACGTGGTGGGCTAGAACCCAGGGCAGCATGGATCCCGGAGGACGGATCTCAGTGGGAGGCTTCACGGGGCCTCCATCCGTCCCCTGTGCCCGCACGTCACTAACTCATGGGGCCACGCGTGGGCCCTCCCCGAGAGGCGCCATCTTACCCCCTTCACGTCTCTCTTCCTCAGGCTGTGGATGAAAGCGTTCAGCATAGGCTAGCCCTGAGTGAAAAAGCTCAGGGATGATTCCAAGGCCCTGAGTTCAAACCCCATGACTGACAAAAGAAAAAAAAAT